TGACTCTTCTGGCACAGCTTCCTGCACAGATGGAGTCTTCAAAAAAAGGCATGGCAGCCATGAGCTGAGCGTTTTCCTTCTATTGCACTAGTAGAAGCATTTCACGAGTAAGAACTCTGAAGGAACATATCTCTTCTAGCACAAATGAGCTAAGTGTGTGTTCCAAAGAGCAGCTGAACAAAGGACAGGTGTCATGACTACCGAGTTCCAAATGCCAAATGTCTCCCCATAAACATGCTTGCAACCCTGTTGTCTTGCAATACGATACAAAAGATTTCTGGAAGGTCCCAAAAGCAACAAATGCTCAGAAAAGTTGTTGAAAGATATATTTGTTTGTTCTGCTTCGTTGCCTCCTCAGCAGGCGGTTGATGTGGAGGTCCAGGTTCCTGGGGACAAGCTTGAAGCAAGCAAATTTGCATCCCACCTGTCAAGTCTATGGGCGCAACATGGTTTTGACATGTAGCAACATACCCTGAGGCCAAGCACAGCGGGATCATCTCGTGTTTCCTGCCAAACACGCAAGCAAGCATACTTGATTTGCGAAGAACTATATATATTTGCGGAACATGCATTGCCAAGACAATTCAGCACTGTAACAAATGCGTGATTTCTCTCGGGCCTGGTGCGCCCAGCTTGGTGTGTATTCCTGGGAGGCGCCAAAAAGCGCCAAATACTCAAGAAAGCAATACGCGGGGATGTGTTTGTGGTTTGTTTTTGCCGCCTCATCATCACACGGTTGAGGTGGAGGTTCATCTTCCTGGAGTCCAGCTTACACTAGTTTTTTGGCATAATGGTCAAGACATTAAGTAAACAAAGACGACTATGTCCTTGAGAAGCCTTTGGAATAATTCATTTGCCAACCCTTTCCAATGTGCTTCATCGTCCCCTCCGGCTTCACAATACATTGCATGACTAGCCACCAGCCAGTGCATACATTCCAGCAGAGCTTGCAAAGGCGTTCTGATGGAACCAAAGCTTCTTGAGACGTACTGCTGCTGACCATGCGGATGGGGGTACTTCGCAGACCAAGCCGAAGACTTCTCGTGACGTCCCAATGTGGTGTCTTGAACTTGTGGTAGCTTCTGAACCCAGCCTTCTTTCTCCAGAAGCATCCACTCTTCAGAGGTCATTTTTCCTCGAGGTCTGTGGATGACTTGACCCTCTGCAACCTGACTTTCATCAGCTTCATCAGGTTTAGCAACTCCTGGTACTTGCTCAGATGTCAAGTCTTTGGAGGACTTAATCTTTCCACCCCAAAGCTCATACACTTCATCTGGCTCATCATCAGATGAAACGTGCCCATTTTCAGGCAGCATCTCGGCTTGCCACCCCGAAGGTGGCTGCAACTCTTCATCAGCTTGGGCAGATTCTTCTCCGTCGTCATCCTGCTCTTCCTCCGTATCCTCCTGTTCCTCATCATCCTCAAAGTCATAGTTGTCCAGGCGCCATGGAGCGGCGCCTGCAGCAGGAAGGTCACTGGTCTGCTCCAAAGCCACGCATCGCACTTCAGAAGCAGCAAAATTTGGTCCAGAAATGAAAAACTCGCCCCCGGACTGGAAAGCAACTTCTCCGTTGGAAAGGGTATTTGGCCTGAAGGTCAACGCGAGCGGCTGTGGGCGTCCCTTCTTACAAGTGACTTCTAGGACGCCGTTCACCAGCTTTGTGTGTTTCGCCATCCAGCTGGGTGGAGCAACTTTTTGCCTACCTGGCAGGAAGACAAAATGAATCGGAGTTGTGAATAGATCGCCAAGGGCTGTCTTCTGCTTGTTCGTCAACTCATTCTCGCTGGTCGGCTGACCTTGGGCATCCTGGAGAATACTGTGTCTTTGCTTTGTAAACTTGGCGATTGCCCTTTGAACTGCGGTCCTGAGAAAGCAATCACTACACTACAAAGTGCCAAGTCAATGCGTCAATGCAACACTACACAATTGGTTCTCCAATTTTGACGCGTGCAAATGAAGCAATCAAAACATCGATAAATGTCAAGACTAGGTTCGCAATCGACAGCGGCATCGCTGCAGGAGTGTTGTCCTCTTTGATGACCTGCCATTGAAGTCGTCGGACACCCCTCACTGGAAGTGCAAGGTCCTGTGCACCCCACGCAGCATTCATTCCGGAAGGATCTAACATATTTGCCGCTGTTTGAAGATCCATGGCTTCCTCCTTGGAACAATAACCGCATACGCTCCAGGCTGCACTGAAGTGGGTCAAAGGAATTCGCCTCCACGCTGTCAATGTGTCTTCCAGAAGCTGTCGGTCAAAGGACACCTGCCGTTTGATGGTTCCGGACCTGCCCAACTGGAGCTGTGAAAAGGTTGGTCGCTGGGTCATATCGGAATGATACCTCAGGTTTTCAGCGCCAACATCCATGAGCTCCCGCCGATACGCGTTGTGGAGCTGGTCCACGGGCTGTCCGTGCGCTGACCAGCCACCTGGCCGAGTCGACCTGAGGATGCAGCTTTGGAAGAGCAAATCCCCTTACTTAGACAACTTATATATATGTCGCATAGACATGACAGTCCAGAATGCCCCATGGACCATTCACGGGGATATCCCATAAACAATGATCCTCGAGGATTCTAGTCTGTGTGTGTGGTGCGTAGACTTGACATGTGACAGTCCACAAAAATGTGCTATGGAAAAATACAAAAAATATTATATAAATTACTTTACTAGCATAAAATGAGCCACGGTAACTCCACGCCATTCAATTGTGACCATACGTTGCGCTCCAAAGCTTCCCCTCCCTCATTGCTCCTGAACCCTGTCCAAGCATCCGCAAGGAACTTGCCCCGCGATTTGCCATCTAGGCCATACCGCTTTCTCTGCGCATCGAAGGCTGGGCCATACAAACTGTATAGCATCTTAGTGAAGCAAGCACTGGTCATGAAGTGGGAACGGGAGTCGGACAGGATTGCAAAGGCCTCTCCTGCGTGATCCGAGTTGAATTTGCGAACCTCGGCCTCGTCCATGCTCCCAGCCGGAAGGTTGAGACCCAACGGGCCTGGTCTGCAATCGCCGAAGGAAGACGTCATCACCGTCATCGACACACGGGCTCTGGAAATGTGATCTTTTACAGACACGCCCAAAGCCTTTTGATTGGATTTGCCTGTCTTGCCTCGCAGCTTCCGGTCCTGTGTTCCCATCAATATATGTATCTTCCCAACCATATAAGATGTCAAGTCTATGGAGACCTATGGAAATACAATAATATATCCACATATAATATATGCACATATATATATATATATCCACTAATAAAACTATCTACCTAATCCCGAGTTCCTATTAATAAACCCTCCACAATTAAAAAACACCACGTCCGAACCCCTAAATTCGGTTTATATTTGGTTTTAAATCGCCGCCCTTTCAAACCGCTACTAAACTACCAACATGGTCGATTTTGGGGGTAGTTTTTTTTTATTAGGTTCCCCAAAACTCTACCATGACACGCCGCGCTTACACCAGCAGGCTTTCCTTCCCTCAATGGCACGGACTCACGCAAACGCACTTGCCACCGAGGTCATGCAACACCGCATGGCACAGCGACATCACCTTTCGAAAGCTTTAGCTGTTAGTCTACTGAAGAAACACTATTCAAATGAAGGTTTTTGTAGGGGAAAAGGAAGACCCTTCGATCTGGCGGTTTTTTGCATTTTTGATACGAGTTTAATAAAGGATTTTATATAAAATTTTCCTGGATTACTTTTTGGTTTTGAAACTCTTTCCAGGTGACCCTATTTTGGGCCCCCCGCGATTTCAGGGACCCCCTATTAGAAAAAATGCGACCGAGGTTTTTTTAATAGGGGAGGGGGCCCGTGTTTATTAATAGGAGGATGGGATTATAATATATCCACAGTCCACTTGCCCAAAACTGTGTCTCTGGTCACTGTCAAGACTATGTGTATGCACATACCGTCCAACCACTCGTCCAACCCTGTCCTTTCTCAGAGTATGCTTGCATCCATTATATGCAGCTCGCCATAGCTGGTCGATGTTCAGTATCAGTCTTCTGTCAATGCCCCTCTGTAAGTCCTCCTCAAACTCGTGGCGGGCTGCTTGCATTTTTGGATGTTCGAATGGCAAGTAGATTCCAGCTGTGTTCGTAGATCGCTTGACCCATCCAAAGGCTTTCCGAAAGCGCCAAGCCCAATTTTTTGAAATTCTCTCTGGCGCAAGCGTCAAAACAGGAAGCTTCATCTGGTCGACAACAGCAGGATTCAATGTGCCTTCAAGCACTTCACGCGTGAGCCTTTGCTTCTCCTGCTCAAATTTCTGTATCTCTTCTTTCATCTTGACGTTCCACTCACGGCACATCTTCTCGGCAGTGTGGGACTTGGCAACGCCAAAACAATGCAGTAAAGAGTAAAGAAAACAAAGGGGGAAAAAAGGGTTTAGTCTGTGATAGTGAGGTCCAAAGTCTTGACATTGCCATGTTGTCTTGACATACACAATTGCCGGTGTGGGTGCCCCAAACATAAACTCTGACTATAGTGTGTTTGTAGTTGTGCTGGGCTTCTATTATAGTTCAGTTACATGTCAAGACTGTAGTCATGTTTCATTCCAAAAACTAAGCCATCGACTATTTGCCATAGCATAATCTCCTCGTTCCGCTCAGTTACCTGCGAGACGCCGCTGGTCAAAATAGCCATGTGCTCGTCAAGAGACTTCAAGATTTCAGGCGGAACTGACTGAAATCGAGGCTTTCCCTTCTTCTTGGTGTTGCCAAACGCTTCTTTCCAAACGTCTGGGACTTCCTTGTGTTGTTCTCTAATGTGCTGCGGTATGTTGTCCCACTGCTGATCCTTCGATCGCTGGACCCATCTTGAAACACTGATCCATGGTCCGACAAGGTGGGGAAACTGAAGCTCGGCCATGCGTTGCAGGTTTCTTCCTCTTTTCCTTTTACTCTGTTTTTGCACCTTCTGCTCACAAGATCCCTTCTCCACTTCCTCCTCCTCCTCATCCACCTCCTCATCCTCGGAGGTGCCCTTTGACTCTGGAGAATCTGAAGCAATTTCCTTTTTCTTCGCCAAGACCCAGTTGACCACATCCAACCTTTGCTGAATCGTGAGTTTGGGCCTGTGCTCTTTCTTGGACTTCATGCCCTCAAAATCATCCTCTATTCTTTTCTTCTTGCCTCTTCCAACTGTCAAACTCCAGATATGCCGCCTTCGTTTGTTCCTTTTATCTTTCTTTTTCTTCTCATCGTCCTCGTCCAACTTGCTCAATGCACGCTCTTTGGCCTTTTGACTCTTCTGTTGGGCAGTCTTCCTCATCCCGCTCAATCTGATTGCCAACTCTGATACCTTCTTGCACTTGGCCTCTTGCTCTGTCTTCGCCTGCTCATTCGCTCCTCCAAGCTTTGAAAGGACTGAAACTGTGGTAAGTTCATCTTCATCCCCGAACAAATCAGCAATGCCAAAGTCCTCGAAAATCTCCTGAAAGCAGGCCGTGGTCTCTTCTGTGGCTTGGGCGGTGAAGGGAAGCCGAGCCACCTTCTCCAACGCTGCACGTAGGTCTTGGTGTCTGTCACCCAGTTCTTTGATCTCCTATCAAGTTTCTTCTTTACACATCTAAGCTAGTCTAAACTCATATTCTCCCCGCCTTCTACCTGTTGTCTTGACAGTCCGTGGTGAAGTTACATAGTTTATGGCGCAGGACAGGGGGCCGTGTTTCTCTAGCAGTGGGTGTTGAAACATGTTTTAACCTGGTGTCTTGACAAATATGGCAGTCCTCCTGTAGCTTCTCTGTGGCAAGCTCTGCTTTCTGCACCTCTTGCAAGCGTTTCTTGTCCTTTTCCTCCACCACTTGCTTGGCCTTGGTCTGCTCTGCAGCCAGTTTTTTCCAAGGCTCGTTGGGTCTCATCTACAGCACAGTCTCCGATGTTTTTCTCTCGGATTTCACGCTCTACTGTCTCATCCGGAATGAATCTCAACTTCAAATTGGATAGGCGGCCAGTCTCTGCAATAAACACAGTGCCATCGCGAGGTTCATCGTTGGACACCACTCTGAAAGTAGAACACTTGTAGAAGTCATCCGCTGCAGCGGGTGGACGGGCAATTTTGGCGTGCAGCAGACCTGCATCAGGACGGCGCAATGTCTCGGTCACACGCGCCAGAGCTTCTGAGTTTGTCTCTTCATGGAACATGATGCCAAGAATGCTTTGCTGGCTTTCCGCTGCTTCGTTGTTCAACAAGTCCTGATTTTGAGGCAATATAGTCTTGACACCCCTGCACCACCAAACACAAATAATCCCTTCCGCCTTCCACCTATCAAAAAGCATAGGGGTATCCCCATTTTCCATTTTCAGCATGAAGGGTATAAAAATATATCCGCCGACCCCACACCGTGGGGTGAGGCGTGACTGTCGATGTTAGCCTTAGCCTTAAGCCTTAGCCTTAGCCTTAGGCCTTATCCTTAGACCTAGTCCTTAGCCTTAGACCTAGACCTTATATACCTCCCCTACCCCTCCGGACCCTTGTTGCAGTGACGAAATCCGGCCCTAAAAGCGACCTGATGGTGACCTGGATTGTCCAAGATTCTGCCATCCCAATTGATTTACATCTTGGAGCACCCTCTCGACCCGCGCAGGAAAATAAGCACGGTCCAAAATGGTCCTGGGCTCGAATCCCGGGCTGGTCGCGGCATGGTCCCGGCCAATGCCCTTGCTTTTTCGTAGATTTTGTCACGTTTTCTGTTGGTTTATGAGATTTTCAAAGGCTTTTCTGGCATTTTCCTAGGAATGCTCTAGGCTTTGTCTTTTTGGGTACTTGCTTTGGTGGTGCTGGGTTGGGTCTAAATTGGTAAACCTGGGAGGTACCCAAAAAGTCGACTTTTTGGGTACCTGCTTTGGTGG